ACGGTCACCGGGGACCTGGACGCCTGGGTCCACTGGGCCCAGACGTCTCAGTCCACCGAGGATGACCAGGTTCATTGCGGAATGGATCCACCAGCCCGGAAGACGACACTTGTTGATGGAGGGACGTTGACACCAGGTTGCCAGGGTGGGAGAGCCCCGGACACCTGGGTCCGTCAGCCACCAGGTGCCACCAGAGGGGCCCGAGCTGGGTCCCCAGGAGGGGCTGGTACCTTCTTGCCGTCGCGGGGGCCCAGCCCGCCGTCCCGCAGCTGGTGGCTGTGCAGGTCCACGACGTCCTTGGCCTCGAACGAGTCCCCCCGGCGCTTGCAGATGATGAGGGCCTTGTCCAGCAGGAACCCGTACCTGGGCGCGAGGATGGGGACGTGGTCTGGTGTCCCCAAGGCCACCTGGCAACCCTGGCACGTCCCCACCACTGCCCCAGCAAGCGTCGTGCCTTGTCCCCTACCCAAATACCTGTGTCCTCACAGGTGTCCCCATGGCTGTCACCACCTCCCTGCAGGTGTCCCCACGGTCACCACCGCTGTCCCCATTTCCCCCCACACATCCCCACAAGAGTCCCCACATCCCCACGGGTGTCCCCATGTCCCCACGTCCCATCCAGGGCCACCTGTCTGCCTTGGTTCGACGCTCAGCGCTGGAGACCTTCAGCTCCCCGTCGATCTTGGGGCGCCCAAACTGGGCCAGCGACTGCGGCTGTGCCAGGAGCGGGGACACAGGGACATGGTGGGGACATAGGGGAACACATGGAGGGACATGGAGGGGACAGGGGGTTCTGGGGTGATCAGGACGGGGCATGGAGGGATCTGGGTACAGGGAGCCAGAGTGGGGGGACATCATTGCCAGGTGGGGGAACAAGGAGAGGGACACGCGTGGGGGACAGAGGGATTGAGGGAGGGAGAGATGGAAGGAAGAAGGGATGAGGGAATGGATGGAGGGAGGGATGGAAGGATGGAGGGAGGGATGGAAGGATGGAGGGGGGAGGAGGGAGGGAGGATGGAGGGAGGATGGAGGGAGGGAGGGAGGAGAGAGGGAGGAGAGAGGGAGGGAGGGAGGATGGGAGGATGGAGGGAGGATGGAGGGAGGATGGAGGGAGGATGGAGGGAGGATGGAGGGAGGATGGAGGGAGGATGGAGGGAGGCCGGGGTTGGGGTGAGGTGGCACCATGTTCTCGATGCTCAGCTGGAAGTTCGTGATCTGCTTCAGCGTCTCGTTGTCGCGCTTCACCTCGTTCACGCACTGCGCCAGGTCCTGCGGGGGCGGCCGTGGGCCAGGGACCCCCAGACCCCGGGACCCTCCAGGTCCCCAGGACCCCTCTACCTCCAGCACCCCCCAAGGACCCATCTAACCTTCCCAAGACACCTGGACCCCCCAGATTCTCCATGATCCCCCTCCCAATCTCTGAGGATGTCCAGGAACCCCCCAAGACCTCTCCAAGACACCCCAAGACCTCTCTAAGACCCCTAAGACACCCCAAAAACCTTGTAAAACCCCCCAAGAACCCCAAGACCCCTTCTAGGACCCCAAAAGATCCCTCAAGATCACTCCAGGACTCCCAAGATCCCCCCAGGATCCCTCCTACCACCTCGCAGGAGCTCCAAGACCCTTTATAACCTCTCCAGGTTCCCCAAGATCCTCCCAGGACCCTCAGAACCACCCCCAGTACCTCCTGTATCCACGGGACCCTCCAAGACTCCCCCAAACCTCTCCAGGACCCCCAGGACCCTCTCCATGACCTCCCCAGACCCCCTAGGACCTCCCCAGCAGCTCCAAGACCCCCTTGGACCTCCCGTCGCCTACCCTCATGGCATCCAACGCGACGCGCAGGTTCTCCCTCTCGGTGGGCTCTGGCGTGTGCTTCACCAGCTCCTGCCAGAGCCGGGTCAGGATTGGGGACCCCCCAGTCCCCTTTGGGACAGGCACCCAGGAACCCCCCTGGGCGAAGACCCAGGTGCCCAGGAAACCCCTCCCCGAAAGGGCCCAGGCGTCCGGCGCACCTGGAGCAGCAGGTGGTACTTGAGCACCCGTTGCATGGGCACCATGAGCAGGTCCCGCAGCGAGAAGCGCCCGTTGTTGGCCCGTTGGGAGCACTCCTGGGGATGTCATAAGGGTCATGGAGGTCATGGGGGTCATGGGGGTCATGGCAGGATTGGGGTCACAGTGGCCAAGGATGAACAAGGGTCAAGGAGGTCCTGAGCGGTCATGGAGGGGCCACTGAGGTCATGGGGGAGTGACAGGGGTCACATGGGGTCAGGGGGACACACGGGGGTGTCACAGGGCTCATGGGGACAACACATGTAGGTCATGGGGTCGTGGGGACCGAGGGAGCACAGGGGTCATGGGGACGGTTCTGGGGGTTCAGGAGGTCCCAGCGGGTCAGGGAGGCCCTGGGGGGTGCTGAGGACCCCGGGGAGCTCCGGGGGCCCAGGCGTCCGGGAGGCCCCACCTGCAGCTTCATGCGCAGGTCGGTGGCGGTCGCCAGCTGGTCCAGGCGGCGCGAGGCGGCTTCCACCTGGCTGCAGTAGCGGCCGTAGAGCAGGAACCTGCCCCAAACGGCCCGAAATGGCCCCAAAATGGTCACCATGAGCCCCTATGTGTGCCCGAACCAGGCTATGCAGCAACTGGCCCCACATGGCCCCAAATGGCCCAAAACAGCCTGACCTGAGACCCATGGGTCCCATACTGGGACTGGGGCCCCTATGAACCCCCACTGCTCCCCCAGACCCTCCCAAGGGCCCCTAGGGACCATCAGACCCCCAGGGAATCCCAGGGACTCCCCAGGACCATCCAAGCCCTCCCATGACCCCCCCCAAGGACCCTCG